CCTCTCTGGCTCACGGATGAACTAGAACCTGATTAGCACAGGTGAGAAGCGAGGACAGGGCAAAAGTCCCTGGCAAGATAGTCCATTTCTTTCTCTCTCAAACCCCATCCCAACACCCCAAGCCTTTCTGTGACTGAAATGGCAGTAGTAGAGAACTGGTTATCTCTAAAAGCACATGGAAACTTAAAAACACCACATGGGCTCTGCCCTTTTCAGAAGTCATTTTTGATCTCCTGGTGAGTACAAGAGTAGAATCAGCAACCTTCCCCTCAGACACCTGTCATCTCCTACCTATAGGCCCTCAGTTCCCCTCTCCTTGTGGAGACCAGTCTGTGTCATAGAGAACACTAAGCTTCCTCTCAGGTGGAGAAAATTTAGTCAAACACACACACACACAGAGACACGCACACGCACGCACACACAGAGAGAGAGGGGGGTCAGGGGGAGAAACATTTTCAATGGGTAACATTCGTGAAGTCTTCCAACCCCCTAACAGACTGAGAAACAGAGCCTGCGCTCCCTCTATAATGTGACATTCAGATCCTTGAGTGACTATGGCCTCTCTGAATTCCCCACTGTCCTAAGGACTGTCATCTGCCTGGCCTGGACACATTACTGGTAACCCAAATCTACCGCTGGTATGCAAGTACAAGTGGAGACCCACAGGCTCACCAGCATGGTGAGCTCTTCGTGGGGCTTGATCCTCCCCTTGTTCCCATCCCATTGCCATTCTCCAGACCAAAGCCTCACAGGTTACTGACAGGCCAACTGCAGCCCAGCGAATGCAGGAGGTTAGGTGCCCAAACAACCCCCGCCCCCGTTTGTCTTTCTCACAATGCTGATTTATAGCAATCGACAGGTTAAAGGTTCCTCTGACATACTTATTTTTAAAAGCTGTCTATTTCTCAACTGTCACCTTTCATCACTTAGCACAAATAAATACTTAAAAGAAATGAATTCAAAGAGACTTTCAGATCATGTTTATAATTCTTGGTCGTCCGTTAACATTTCTAATGACCTGGCCCTCTGAGTTTCTGTAGCTTCCTAAGTTGGTTTCCAATCCTGCCATTTCTGCTTTAAAACTTCGAGGAAAGTGGGTGAAGTGGGGACTAAAAGAGACACAGCTAAGCTGCAAGTTTACAACGGGGTGAGAAGGAAAAAATGTTTCCCCGAAGCCTGAAGATACAGGCCTGGTAAGGAAGGCCACTAGGGAAGGGGCCTCGCATGAGTCAGGGGACCCAGTAGCATCAGAAACTGAAAAGAGTCCCTCAGAGCAAGAGCACAAAATACCCCATGATTGTTGGTCCTCTGAGCCCCACTGCAAAACCACGGTGACATTCTCATTAAACAGGCGTGCTGCTCAGAGGGAATACCACCACTATTGCTTCTACGATGGTTTCCAAAGGGTCCAAGGGACATTTCCTCTCTTGCGTCTTTAACTTAGCCTGTTTGAGCCTGAGACCCGGAGAAATGTAGAAGCGAGGTGGAAAAGAAACCAACAGATTGAAATCCACACAACAAATCGAAATTGTTTCTTCACTTTTGCTACCATTTATTCGGTGTTCTCTCTCTCTCTCTCTCTCTCTCTCTCTCTCTCTCTCTCTCTCTCT